GTGTAAAAGAGTGAAGAGCACTAAAATAGGGATAGTTTCAGAAGATTTATATATTGCTTAAGCTTTTATACATTTCTCTSTGTGTGYATATATATATATGGGGGGAGGCAAGCAATCAAACCTGTAAATGTTAAGAAACGGGTTTTGTTTACATCAAATAGCGTAAGTCAAAAATGTTGGTGTTTTACAGGTGCCAAAGTGGGTCGTGCGGTTTATGAAGGTATCTCCTAGTTAACACAAGGTTTGATTTCCCAAGCAGGTGGGAAGGGTCTCTCCCAAATACGTGATTAATCTACGAGGGACAGCCATTTATCTGCAGGGTGCACYGGCTTCAGCAAGCAGGGCGTTTGTCAGCTCTCCTTGTGTGCTGGTAGATAYAATTTCAGTAGAGAAGTTCTGTTGAAATCCAGCTCACCTCAGGCTCACTGCTTTTATGTTGCAACACACGAAGTTGTTGTCAATTCCTTAAGTTTCCTCAGAAGTGCTTAAGTKGAAGGTGAAAATAAAGCAGTCTTCATGGCTAGGAAGGGGGGAATGCCATCATCAAGCAGTATCCACATTATAATGTAAGACTATCAAATACCAAACAAATATAAATGACAAGCCAACGTAGGCTACAACCGCTAAGGCGCTGATGTCCCCTGCCACCTAAGAGCCGTGTTCCCTCTTGGCCTGTCTCGGTGCCTGGCCTGCTACGCCCGCACGGTGCACGGGGGCTTCTCCCCAGGGTTCTGCTTCGCTCACCTCAGGCTGGGTTTTCTTCTCCTGCCTTGGATTTTGGGCACTTTTCTGCCTGCTCGCTGGTGCAAACGGCAGCACCGTGTGGTCACACTGCATGAAGCGCTGCAGTCGGGCACGTTCCATATCCTGCAGCTCGGGGCAGCCGCTGCTGGGGCCAACAGGGTGCCCAGGTTATTGTTCCAAAGCCAGGGAACTTTGCTGGCTCCCCTGCCTCTCGCCCTGCATGCAYGCACCTGGAGATGTGTTAGAGGAAGCTCTGGTGCTTCTGGCAAATGCCTGGGTTAAAGAGGAGTGGGCCTGGAGCTGGGTGTTACCGTGCTCGTGGGGCCGCATCCACCCCGCCAACAATGGGCTGTACCTGGGGAAGCAGCTTCGCACGYGGGGCAGCAGCCCCAGCATCATCCCCGGCCCTTTGCTGCAGCAATCYCTTCTCCATACCAGGCATTAAAGCTGTTCCGAGTCCCTAAGCTACAAGTCCCAAATTCCAGCATTCCTCTTCATCTCCCTGTGACCCAACGAGGCCATTCATGAGCTTTGCTATGGGGGGCAAGACTGCAAAAACCATTGTGGACAATCTCACTGCAGATGCTGCACGAGGGGCCTGCTGACCGAGAGCAGCGACCCTGCTGGTGCCGACCTGCCTGGCACGTGATCCTAACGCCCAGCAGCGGGTCCCACGCTGCGATTGCTGGTGCATGGGTGGGCAGGGAGGCCCCAGCTGCCTCCCCAGGGCCCTCACTTAAACCCCGGGCGCGCAGTGCGAACGAGACCCTCTGCTCCCTCCTCCTCAACACACAGAGCAGCCTCCCTGCGGAGGAAAAGAGTCACGGGCAACTGTTTGGCAACGGGTGTTGGAAACCTGAGCTTGTTATTTATAAACTAGGGTTTAATCTTTGTGTTTGTTATGATGGCTCCGTTCTAAAGATCAGCTGTAAAATAGTGGCACAGGTCTTGCAGATGGGGTCGTTTGTTGCATTCCGACTCCTTTGAGGAAAAATTTGTATTTGCGACTCTGAAGTGTCACTTATTCCACCAAAATAACCAAACTCTGCATATAAACTGCATTCTTTTCCAGCCTCTGCTTTTAGTCAAAAAAGAGAGGTTAAGCAATGGCTTGACCTCAGAGCAGGCTCTGTGTAGGGACTGACTCCATGTAATGGTCTCACCTGTGCAATTGATTGTGTCGGGACTGCTCCCGTGCACCTTGGAGTATCACCTGAGCTCAGGGAGGAAGCAGCCTTTGGGCTGAAAAATGCTGCATGAGCAAGAAAGAATGTGGCTTGATCAACAAATGCTAAACTGAGATCACAGGGACTGACAGTAAATAGAAAAAGAAAACTTKGATTTTAAACAGAGGGGAAAAAAACAGAAAACACTAACATACAGGCTGAAGAAACATGGGTTTTTTTTTGTTTTGTTTTTGTTTTTTTGAAAGTAGGACTGTAATCTAATCACTTAGGAGATAAATTTGAGTCCTTTAGCAAGATTATAAAGTAATGTAGTAGAGACACAATTTTGTACTTTTTTTCTGTAAAGGASTTCCTAGAAGCCACTGAATGCCCAGGTCTTGAAGGGTTTGGTGCATTGTCCACCTCACAAATGCCCRAAGAAATAAAGCCATGAGAAGCTGTGAAGAAGAATACAGTCACACACTCTTAAACTCTCCAGAATCACTCCCAGATTCCAGTTCTGCCYGTTGCATGATTCAGGCAGAAAACGCAGCAGTGTGCCATGATCAAAGTCATATTGCACTTACGAGTAAGGGACATAGCTGCCTGTTGTATATCCATGTTCTGCCATGTTATATCCCCACCAGTTCGTTAGACTCCCTTGGCAGCTGGACCATCTTCTGCTGTCCTGCAAAGCAAGGAACAACACGAGTTCCCAGCGGAGGTGGCTAACAAGGAGCTCCTGACACAGGACTGAAACGAAAGCTGGTGTATTGGGCAGGAGGGACCCCGTGCTCCACCTCAGCCTGGAGCAGATTGGGCTGAGCAGCTGCCCCAACATCAGACACAGAGATGGGTCTGTGCTCCGAAACACGGCGCGCGGCCCTGGAACGTTCCCCTTGYGGCCCAGGTGGTTGTGGCTGCCACGGGCTGCGGCTCTGCTCCGTRTTCCCCCGTTGTCCTTTCTAAAAGCCGTGGCAGCGCATTCGTTCCTGATGCCCCTTCAGGCTGCTGGGGAGCCCGGACATGCCCAAGGTGGCTCCCGAAGCGCTGTGGTTCGGGCAGCTCCCCTTCCCCTTGCGCTGCTCTGGGGCGCTGGGGACACRGGCGCTGCCGGCCTGGAGGCCTCTGCGGGTGCTGCGGGTGGCCCCGGGAAGGGTGGGCGAGGGGGCCCCACAGGCCCCCATAGCGCTGGAGCTGAGTGTGGCTGTGGAGCCCGACGTGGACGTCCCCAGCGACCACCTCTCGCGGGACAGACTGGCCCATGTCATTGAGTGCCTTGCAGGAGGGCCACGTTTGTTAGGAATGTAAGTCTGGTTGGGTTTAAATGTGCTCTAATTGCATTCACATTGAAAGAAATTCCATGTCCCCCTGCTCTAGCAACCCGCTTGAGAAAAGAGAGTAAGTTGAATTAAGTCTCTTTAGATCTCAAAATATGCCCCTCTTGATGTTCAAAATTGAATTCAGTGGATTCCCAAAGAACAATGCAACACCCATGCCATGAATTCCTTGCTCTCTCCATGACTTGGGTTGAGGAGTCAGCAACGGTATGGGCTGAAATACGAGATGGGAACAGAAAGGTTTTTAGCAGAAAAGGGTAACAAAATTATGAAGAAAAAAGGGACAACTAGAAGAAATGGGAGGATGTGGATTTTGAAAAAAAAAATGTTAAGAAAGGTCTACCCTATGCTCCCGAATGAGACTTCAGACAGAGAAATGTRGGAAGAGATCTAATAGTGACCCTCTGCTGTATGAGCTCGTGTGTTGTTCCTGTGTTGTCAGCACTCAGAATCCCTGTGTAGGCTCCTACAGTTGCCTGCTAGGGCCCTTTGTCCCTGCATCCTTTTCCCGGGTCCCTCAGCCCCCTCTCTTCCAAGCCCCCTTGCTGCCTTAGTCGCATGAGAAGAGGCTGCAACAGTTACACTCCTCCCACGAGAAGGCCGAAGTTCTTGGAGAGTTCATAGCAGGGATCATCTCTGCTGGTTTTAGGCAGTACGTGCAGGCACCGAAGCCTGTGCCAGAATTGCCTCCCAGTTCTTATCAGCTCATCTGCCTCACATACAAGGAAAGAGGCCCCTTCTGTTGTCTGTAAGTCCTGTTGACCCCTTGCATCCCTAGGTCTTTGTGCTCTACTAGGCAGCAACTCCTATAATGCATTCTTAACTCTTACTTAGCTAAATCCTCCTTATTAATTTGTCTCACACTGACAGGTGATAGCCCAGATTGCCCATTCTCATTCCTCTCTACTCAAGTTTGCTTCCCTGTGAATCACAATTAACAAACCTCTCTAACAGTCGCAAGTCTCAGCACCAGGTAAGGTCATGGTCTGTAGGACGATACCTTTGAAACCCTTTGGCTGTCTAGAGTCCAGCTCAAGGCAGAAGAGGCCTTTGGGGCATTAGGTTTTCCAGTTTGAACAGCTGAACCCTTACCATGGAAGAGAACTCCCCAACTCTGCTTGTTCACGTTCTGAGCACCTCACAGCGTCCACGTTGTTCCTGCTCACCCAGGGAAGGACAAGACAAACAGGAGATGACAGAATATTTCAGGGACCCTCTGCAGAACAAGTGTGCCCAAAGGTAAATGCTGCAGGAGTGGGCACCACCGGCTTGTGAACTCCCGTGAAAGATCCATGTCAGATGGATCTTTCCAAAGTTGATGCCACGTGAAGGTTGCAAGGGGTGAGGAGGTGGGAGGTAGGTCAGTTCTTCAGAGATATTTAGTTGTCTGGTACAGAAGAATAATTCCTGAAGCGTTCCAACCATTTTGCTGCCTGAGCCCCCAAGGAGTGCTCCAGTGCATGGGCAAGTACAGCAGGTACCTGCCACAGGCACTGAGCGCAAGCGGTGCGAGTATGTGAAAACGAGAGGAAAAGCTCATGAGTTAATATATGTCACTTTGGAAACCACTTGCCTCAACGCTTTAGAGATTTAGTGAAGGCTTGAAGAAGAATGTTTTCAGCTGAAACTAATTGGGGTTAAACTAGTTGTGACAGATGCAATTCATCTGGGAGATGCCAAGAGAGGATAAAACAGCCTTGGAAGGGCCTRGAGGCTTCTTTCTGTCAGGGGGGCTGCCTAGTCTTTTGTCTTAGTGACTGCCTATTCTTGTCTACGTTTTGTTATGCCATCACCTATCCCTCTCAGTCGCTTTCTTCCTGTGGAGTTTTCCCCATCCGTGGATTTACGGCCCTGCAGCAGCCCCTTAGTGATCCCTGGTAAAGATGGAAAAAGCTTCTTGGGGGGAACCCCTTTGCTCAGGACTCGCCGCCTACCCCCGCGCCTGGCCTGGTGCTCCATAGACTGGGACCAGCTCTGCCTCCTGCAGCCCCTTGGCTCTGGCGGCTTCGGCTCTGTCTACAAAGCCACGTACCACGGTGCGACTGTGGCTGTGAAGCAGGTGAAGAAGAGCAGCAAGAACAGGCTGGCATCGCGGCAGAGCTTCTGGGCYGAGCTGAACGTAGCCCGCCTGCAGCACGCGAACGTGGTGCGCGTGGTGGCCGCCAGCACCTGCGCGCCCGCCAGCCAGAACAGCCTGGGCACCATCATCATGGAGTACGTGGGCAACATCACCCTGCACCATGTAATCTATGGCACTAGTGACACGTGGAGGCAGGCGGAGGACGATGAAGGAGCATGTGGAAAAAAGGCCCTGAGCATGGAGGAGACTGTGTGTTATTCTTGTGACATTTTGACTGGCTTAGCTTTTCTTCACTCGCAGGGCATTGTGCACTTGGACCTCAAGCCTGCCAACATCTTCATCACTGAACAGGGAGCGTGCAAGATTGGAGACTTTGGGTGCTCCCAGCGACTGGAGGACGGCCTGTCGCCGAGCGCGCAGGTTTGCCAGCAAGGGGGCACATACACCCACCGCGCGCCCGAGCTCCTCAAGGGGGAGCGGGTCACCGCCAAGGCCGACATCTTCTCCTTCGGCATCACCCTGTGGCAGCTGGTGACGCGGGAGCAGCCCTACGTGGGCGAGCGGCAGCACGTGCTCTACGCCGTGGTGGCCTACGGCCTGCGGCCGCCCCTCGACGCCGCCGCCTTCCGCGCGTCCCCCGCGCGCCGCAGCCTCGGCGCCATTGTGGGCCGCTGCTGGAGGGCCAAGGCCGAGGAGCGCCTGAGCGCGGCCCAGCTGCTGCCCAGCCTGCGCGCCCTCCGCGGCGGCCTCTAGGGAGAACCCGCCCCTCTTCATATCCTGCCCTCGCCGCTCGTTTGTCGGGGATTTGTGGTTTTCTGATCCCCTTGACCTACCTGAACATATCATGTTCTGTGTGATCTGAAGGCTTTGCTGCACCCCCTGCTTTTTTATATAAAGGAAAAAAAATGCTTTGTTATGAGAAGATTATAAATAAAGAGATCTAATAAAAGTATTTTGTTATTGTGGGAGGGGATAGAAGCAAGGACGAAGGTGTTGGCGAATACGGCTTTTTTCTTTTTATTTTTTTCTGGTGGTTGTGTGGTCTGTTGTTGTACCCAGGAAAAAAATGGGGAAGGTGACATACAGAAAATAGCTGTTTTCAAGTAAGTAGTGAAGTAGGAAAAAAAAAAAAAAAAAGGCTGCTTCTGAAGGGTTTTTGGTACAGAAAAACTTTACTATTTTTACTATTCTCAAAACATGAGGCATAAGCAGTGCTTTAGACTTGCTGCACTTGAGCCTTTCCTCTTTGTTTTCCAGGAAAGTGTGCATCACAGAGCAGTGGATGCACCAAGACAAACAAAGGCAGTCAGTGTTTCTCTCCCGGTTTTAGATGTACTTAATTTCAGTAAGCATGTTGCTTCTGAAACAGAAAATGTAAAACTCCGTGATCTCCCTTTTGAAATAAGGAACCTTTTCAGCTGAGGCTGTTAAAGGTAAGAAGTTGGATGAATGTTGAACATCTTGTGCTTATACTGAATTTCTGTGCTGTCAGGTGTCTGTCACAACTTGCTAGTTGGTCTGCTAGATACTGTTGTAAACTGGAATAGCCTCTGAAGTATCATAGGAGTATCTCGTTTGAGTAAGCCCTAGGTTTTGGAGAAAGAGGTGTTTTTAAGGAAAAAAAAAATGTAAAACTCTTGAAGTGAGACATGTAAATACAGACCCCTCAGCTCTTAGGGCTTGGGGAGGGGGAAGAGGTTACTTGTCCTTCTGAATCCAAGGTCACTACTATGTAAGATATTCCAGGTAGTCAAAAGGAGGATCGATTAAAGTACTAATAATTGTATTTTGCCAGTGCTTAAAACATGCACTAATGAGCTATCCCCTGCTCATGTCATTGCAACTATTAATGTTTCATCTACTCCCTCTCTTCTCATCTGGTTGTAAAGTGTTTGAGACAGTGAATGCTCTAGGCAAGGGTGAAGAAAAAGAGCTCTGATCCTTGATCTGTCAGAAGTGATAATTACAGATTTGTCTAGATCCCAACCCTTATCCAGACTACAAAGATCTGGCTGCTGTAATTCATAGTATCCTTCCTCTCAGGCTCTCCTCCCTTTTAAGATGGGAGGAAGACTGATGTTTCAGTTAAGTTATTTTTCATCTTCATTCCCCACCTGATACACTCCTGCTGGGTGGGGAGAGGGAATCCCCAAAGAACTGAGCCAGTTTCTTGAGTTCGGGCGAGCATCTGTTCTAGTCCCGTGAAATCCTGGAAATGAGCGACCGAATTTGAGATGATTCTGTAGGTTTTATAGTATTTGGGTTGGTCAAAGTTAATGCTTTATAAAGCTTAACTATTTCTTGCCTGTTGAAATAAGAGAGAAATGTTGGAATAGATGTGTGCCCCCTCCTTTAAAATAATTATGCTTAGAGAACAAGAATTTTTTTAACATTGCATAAATTCTTTCAATAAATCAGGACTATCTTATAATGTTATCATAATAAGTCAGGTGCCTCTAAAATGATTAAGCAAAGGGCATTTAAGAAAATGTCAGGTGAAGTCTTGCCTTAAACCCTTTAACGGCAAGTATTTTTTTAAGTTGTATTTTGTCATTCTAGCCAAATGATTGCTTAAACTGCTAAAACTTGGTATTTGGGGGGCTTATCTGGGCATGTTTCTAAGTGAATATTCTATCATGACCCATCAAAATGGGTTCCATGTATCCTATGAAGGTATGTGGGAGACATGTTTATACCCATAGCCTCATAAATTTGCGTTGCCTGATTATTAGGTAAAAGAGTAACAAGGTCTTTCCTCCGGAAATTCTTTTCTATTACGGTATTGTCTATCCATTCAACGGACAGAAAATATCTGGAATAGCAATGAGAAACCTTTTCCCAATCTTTTCCTGTGTCTCCCTACTTCTCATAGCATAACTGCAATTCAGTGTACTAGACTTGGCTTTGAAATATGTGGCCAGTCAAATATTTAACCCTGAAAACTCAAATTTCTAACATTATCATAAATTTATCAGATAAATTGCATACTCTTTTTCCCCTTGTAATTTGTAACAAATACATTATGGACAGGTTAAACTGAAGGCTGGTGTAGAGCTGGATTAACTGCTGCTTGCACAATAGGCTCGGGATGCAGTTGCCTAATGAAGCCAACCAAGCTGATACTTACTGTGCTACCGAGGCAGAGACTGACACAAGTTCTTCCTGAGCAATACGACACTCTTAATACGAAGCAGTAAAATGTGTGAATAGTAGAGTCAGGCAGAGGGCTATGGGAGATCAGGTCTGTGGAGAAAATAAGATCCAAACGGAGAGGATATGGGCACCTCTGTCTCTTTGCCCAAACCAGAGAGGAAAACAGTCRCATCGAAATCTCATGCAGCTCCACATTTCTCTCAGCCGTGGCTCTCTGTTCGGTTGTGAGCTGAAGCTTGCTCCCCATGCCAGCTAACTTTGAGAAGCTCTTGCAGTTATTCCCAAAACATCACTTCAGAATGAGGTGTTACCCTTTTCATTGCAGCTAATTGAGATTAGGAAGCCTGGGTGACTTTAATAACTATCTATCTCAGATATGACCGTGTATAGCACAGCTGTTCAACTTGAATATTCAGGGAATGCTTCAGCATCAATAAGTACTACTTGAGTCTCTGAAAAATCAAATTTCTTTAAAATTTTGCTAACACTTGATCAGAAGAGTATTGGGTGGCCAAGAAGCACCAGTCTTGCTGTGTACTTAGCTCTGCAGAGTCTCTGCCTATTCTGCTGGATGCTCTTCTGAGAGTTCTGCCAARTGGAATTGAAATATAGGCACATCATAACCTACTGTCACTACCGTGGTCTTATTTTCTAAAACAGCTTCATTAATTTCTAGTGTTTGATCTTTTTTGACTGCACCCGATCAATGGTTTCATACTAATAAGCAAAGATCTTGGGCCTGATGGGTCAGAACCTGTTGTTTAATATGCAGAAAGGACCGTTCTGCCTGCTCCGTCACTTAATATCAGTCTGCCTTGGATTTCATTCTGCCTGTTTGTACTTGGGCCTTGCCCTTACTGTCCTGAATAAACTCATCAGCAAACTTCTTAGAGCTCCCTCTCCTCGTTTAGCAATGTGTTGAACAGCACAGAACCTGTGAAACTCCAGCAGTGGATTTTGTCTATGTGAAAGAACAGCTATTTTATTTTTATCCTGTCTTCCTACCTGCTAGGTCATCCTGTCCATTTTTTTTCCTCTTATGTATGTCTGTTCAGTTCTTTTAAATGCTCTCAGTGAAATTTTTTTCAAAAGCCTTTTAAGCTTCAAGGGGAACATACCAACCAGCTCCTTATCCACACATTGTTGGTGCTGTCTCCTCCAGTACAATTCGACCCAAGTGTGAAGCACAACTCCTTTCAACTAAAGCAATGCTGATGGCTCCTAAGCAGGTCATGTCTCTGTATGTGACAATTCTTTTAATATAGTTTCTACTAATGTGCCTGGTACAGGCATCAATTTAACGAGTTGATAGTTTTTGGTTCTCTCTAGGATTTAATAAATGAGTATTCAAAAATCTCATATTTGCTCAGTCCTTTGGTAAAAAAGAAATTTTAAGTGAGGTTTCATTATAGCATTACTAAGACAACCTCTATTTTACTTTTAATAAAAACCAGGTAGATACTGCCAGGTGCTGGCACTATGGTACTCGTCCCTTTTTTTTTCTAGTCAAGTGGAAGAAGTCTCACGTTTCTAGGTCTTATTCCTAATGGTCTCACCTCGAAAACTACTGGGACACAGCAGGGCACAAGCAGTTCAGACGGTTTCTGGAATATGAGAACTTGCTGACACAAGTGACTGCGAAGGGGAGATGTTCTGCTGAACCCCATACTTAGGAGCATGGAGGAACTGGTTGGAATGTGAAGGTCAGGAGCAGCCTTGGCTGCAGTGACAATGGGATTGTGGTAGCCAGGCTCCCAAGAGAAGGGAACAAGGCAAATAGCAGAACTGCATCCCTGTGTTTCAGGAGAGCAGCCTGTTCCAGGGACGTAATTCAAAGATTCCCATGGGGGAGAGTCTTKGAGAGAAGAGGGGTCTAGGAGAGTTGGTTGGTTTTCAAGCTAAGCAATGACCCAACCTAAGGAGCAGGAGGTCAAGGAAAGGCAGGGGGAAGCTTGTGTGGATGGACAGAGAGATCCTCGTTAAACTCAAGAATTAAAAGAAGAGCACATGTAAAAGGTGAAACTAAAGTCAGGTTACCCAGGAGGAACATAGAGACATTGTCTGGGTGCGCAGGGATGGCACTGGGAAAGTCAAAGCCCCTCTCAAATCAAATCTGACCACGGATGTTAAAGACAGCAGGAGGGCCTTCCACAGCTGTAGCAGCAGCGAAGAGGAAGATGAGGAAAAAATGCAGCCCCACTGCATTGGGTCAGGGAGAGGAAATGGAAGAAGATGAGGAACTTGATGCCACCTTCGCCTCAGTCTTTACTGGTCAGAGTGGTGTTCAGGAATCCCCTGAGACCAGTGGGAAAATTTGGAACAAGCAAGATACCTCCTTGACAGAGGAGGGTGAAGTACGGGAACATTTAGGCAGACTGGACATATATGAGTCAGTCTATGGGAGCTGATGCACTCATATAAGCAGTGAGATTCCATTATCTTTGCAACAAGGAAGACCGGACAAAGGCAAATGTCACCCTTGGAGAAGGGCAAGGAAAAGTATCCAGGAAACTACAGGCTTATCAGTCTTGAGCCCTGAGACGGTGATGGAGCCAATAACCCAGGAGCTGTTCCCAAATTTATTAAGAAGGTTATTGGGAGTAGTCAGTGTGGAACTATGAAGGGRAAGTCAGGCTTGAGCAACCTGAGAGCTTTCCACAATGAGATGTCTGGCTTTTGGGCTTAGGGAAGAGCGGTGGTTGCTCCGTTGGCCTCAGTAAGGCTTTCAATGCTGTCTCCCACACCATGCTCACAGACGAMGTGATGAAGTACCAGCTAGATGAATGGACAGTGGAAATTGGCTGATTTGTTGGTTAAAAGGGCTGGACACAAAGCCCAGCTCAAGGGCAGTCACTRCAGGTCTAGGGGTTGCTACTTGAGCCAAAACTGTTTGAGATTTTCATGAAGGGCCTTGCTGATGCAACTGAATGCACTYTAATCAATTGTTTAGGTGATACAAAATTGGGAGAAGCCATCATTACACCAGATGTTTGTCCAGAGGGGATTTGACAGGCTGAAGAAGTCAACTGACTGGAATACCCAGAAGTTCAGCAAGGAGATATGGAGGAATAACCCTGGGCACTGGGCCAGCAGCAGTATAGCTTTGCAGGAAAGGGTCTGGGGGTTGCGGTGAGCGCAAAGTTAAATGTGACCCAGCCACGTGGCCTTGCAGCACAGAAGGCCAGCAGCCTCCTGGGCGGCATTAGGAAGCACTGCCAGAAGTCATTACCCCTTGACTCAGTGCTGGTGAGAGGACATCTGGAGTGTTGTGGTCAGTTTGGGGCTCTGCTGGAGCAAGCAACACGTGGACACGCTGGGACACGTGCAGCAAATAGCCAGGGAGATGCTCAAGGGCCTGGCACTTCTCTCCTATGAGGAGAGGTTCAGGATGATTCAGCCTTGAAAGAGCTTGGCGGGTGAGTGGGTCTTGCTAATATGTATAAATCGGTATTAACGGAAATGAGAGGAGGTAAAAAAGACAAAGTCAGACTCTTTTCAGCAATTTTCAGTGAACAGAGCCAGTAACCACAAGTGACCACACAGGAAATTTTATTTAAAAATAATTAAAAAAATAAAAAGCATTGTGAGATGGTTGTGCGCTGGAACAAATGGCCCAGAAAGACTGGGAAATGTTTGCTCCTGCAGATATTCAGAACCTGCTTGGACTTGATATTGAGGAACCCACTCTAGCTGCTTTGACAAGGGGCATTGGACTCGATTCTGTGATTCTAAAGTAAAATCAAAACTTTTGCATTTTAGACAATTGCTCCTACAAAAATGTTTGTAGCTTGAGACTATTCTCTGGGAATGGTACAAATGCAAGGAGCACACTTGGAATCTTTGCACTGACTTTGTGGTCTGGGGAAAGGGGAAGCAGGCTCCAGTTCAGAACTCTGCGTCCATCAGATTTTTCCTGAAGTCTGCCTAGAAGCTACATTTTGTTCATTATCTCTTCTTCCCACTGTGTATTTAACACAGTTCCAGATGGTTACTAAGACAAGGTCTTAAGCCAGGAAAAAGTTTAAGGGTTACACATGCCTAATTTATCCATTTCTGGATTGATCACCTGCCTAGGGGAGCAGCCTAAGCAGAGGAACTACTGAAGACCTGGAGTCGTGGGGCAACCAGGTATTTTATCAGCATCTCCTAGCGCTTCTGGAGCCCGAAGCCTTTGCGAAGCCAGCACTGCCCCATCCAGCCAGCCACTCGGAGGTTGAACGATGTTGGAAAAGCTCCATACAGGGTTTGGCTGGACCAGCGCTCTCGTCCCCATCAGTTCTGTGGGGTCTAGCAAATCCTCAAGCAGGGGACCCGGCCTTGCATGGATTCGGGGGAGGCAGTTACTGTAAATCCAGCTGGTGGCATTTTAACATGCCTGTAAGCATGGTGCCCTCTAGCCCTGCCGGGCGCCCGCACCGCGCCCGCCTGCGGGTCCCCCCRTGTTGAGGCTCTTCCCTGGTCGGTACCGGAGGACGCGCGCGCAGGCGGGACTTGCTCTCAGGGAGGAACAGGGGCTCATTCATCTTGGCTGGTAAATGTCAAATCCGCTCATGTCTAGCAAATCAACCTGCTTCTGTAACCACCTCAGCGCGCCCGTGTGTCAGAGCCGCCACCACGTGTCCCCGTCTTCCCCTCAGAGGGTGTGTGGGAAACTCCACAGGATGTTGCTGAGAAGGAGAATTTACCTAACACGGAAAGAACCGACAGACCAACTAAGAGCCCTTCTAGTTGGTGCTGAAATGCTTTTATATGAAAACTAAATCACTTCTCTTTCTAACAAACAATTTCCACGTGCACTCCAGCGTTCCGGAAAGTTGTGGAATTTCACAATGACCTTAGCAGGCAAGTGGTTAGGAGGAGGTAAGAAAAGACAGCCCCAAGCATGGAAACTGTATTACTGTAGTAGCAAAAATATGTTTCTAGAATGACCAAGAAAGAAGGAAAAGAAAAGGCAACGGTTTGAAAGTGCAATTTTATCACTCTGTATTCCTTTTGATTTACTGACCTATAGCTATTACTGAAGGTTCAGTGTCTTTGGTTGCCTAAAACAAGTGTCAGTGGATTGAGAAATGAAAACGGAACATTCCCTTCCCAATAATACTAATAAATGGTTAAAAAAAAAAAAAAAAAAAAAAAAAAAAAAAAAAAAAAAAAAAAAAAAAAAGGAGGAAGAAACTGCTCAGTCCTGGTTAATCAAAATGGCAAACTGGCAAATGTTACCCACTCTGTAAACAATTATTATCAACACACAAGGTATCCGCAAGGTTTCCTCTTTCTTTCCTGGCTGGCTGCGCTGGGTGTCTGTTGGGATCAGGTGTTTGTGCGCAGCTCTCGATGGCGACGCCTGACGGAGGCGGCACAGGGGGGGACTGAACCGTGTGTGCTCCTGCACACGGACTGCTGCGTCTGTCACTGAAACTCCAAATTTCTGTTATCTATGGGGAAGATTCGGCATGTTTGGTGCTCATTTCCCCCTTGCGCAGCTGCAGCCCAGCAGCCCGACACGGCCGTGCCCGCTGCTCTCCCTGCCGGCGGCCACGCTCTTTCGGTGCATTTTGCTGTACAAGTGTTTTGCACACAAAAATCTGAGCTCATAATGATGAAAACACACTTCATTTTGTTTGTTTGTTTTCACAAGGCCTGGCTACTGTGCTCARACCCACCTCCTATGCATACCGCAAGAATGAGTTTTGTTCACCTAAAATATGGAATATTTTACCACAATCTTCCTAACTCCTGGCACAACCTTTTCCTCTAGACAAAATCTAGATGTGTGCAGGGAAAACTCYTCTAGATCTGTGCAGGGAACACTTGTTGCTAGCATTTTTTCTGGGTGTTTTCATGTAGGGGTGTTTGCAAAGGCAGAACAATGCTGTGCGCCTCAGTGTCGTTGTCCACACCACYGTCTAGGCGCTTGTTGCATGGGGAAAGATTTCTTTATATTAATATAAAGTACATTTGCTGGGAGTCCTATTCTCACCCCTCATAATAACTGATAATTTGCAGACTGCTGTGAATTGTGAGTGAAATAGGAAATCCTGCTGTGTATTTAGGCCACAGTTTAGGGGACTCGCTCTCATCTCCCGTGAGCTCTTCTCTTGGGCAGAGCTGCCGAGYCTGCTGTGAAACCACAGCACAAACGCGGCAGTTGCTGTTCCTGCCACTCAACCACAACCTCTTCATTTCTAAGTAGCGGCTGCAGCTGCTGCTTTTGCCACATTAATGTTTTAGAGAAGTTAGYGAGCCCTTTGAAATCCAAACTTCTTCATGTTCATTGCCTCTTGGATCGCTTTCCTGTTGCACTCTGCTTCTGAGCAGCTGTTCCGAAAAATCACAGCCTAATGATTTCTTCAGCAGCTCTTAATTCCCGCTTCTAACGCACATCTTTATGCCAAAGCATCTCCTTTAGCTCCAGGTCCTACGTTTTACGTTGTTATTCCCATCTCCGTCAGCTTTTGAGTTATTTAGCTTCTCCAGCTCACCAGGATCAGGTCACATCAGGAGAAGCACCTGACCTGGCACCAGGCTTTACTGGAGGACACGTCTCCTGACCCGCACAATTCAGCTGAGACCTACATGAGACCTAAAGAAACCCATGSGATGCAGCCACTATCCTGCTCCAACGGTGCCTTGCCACCACGATGGTGATAAGGTCTTCTATGAACCTTCCTCTTGCCGTCTGCAGAAGCACCTGCCAGCTGGCTCCAATATTTGCAATTATTCATCACCGAAACAGCAGCTGGTTCAAGCCCATCATGAGGAGGGGACTAATCTTGCTGRGATCCATAAAGACTTGAAAGAAAGAAAATACCTGATGTGGTGACAGACTCTGTGTGGAGAGGATGGGCGTTTGGCCATAAGCCAGTTTATAGGTCAGAATCATTCCTTGAACTATCCCCAGTCTGTGAGGGAAGCAGTGCAAGCACCATGAAGCACTTTGCTCCTTCCCACAAAGGAATTAGATTAGACTGAAATGGTCTTTGAAAGAAAAGATTGTGATCAGCAACTTCCTAACAAGGCTTTAAAATGGCAGACAAAGGGTCATGGGCAAAAATGGATGTGGGCCACATATATCGACACCCATAAATGACTGTAAACTCTCTGGTATGTACTATAAACTACCTTTCCTTCTTCAAGGACGGACCTATAAAGCAAGCAAACACCCTGCTGTTAGTAGCCTTCCACAAAGGCTTTACAGGACAACTCCTGCAGCTTTTACTAGCACGTAAGGTACTGCAGGGCTCGGTGCTCTGTTATACACTGCGGGTTTCCAGCGCACCACATCCGAAGGGGCTGTAGGGAAGCCAGTGAGGTCTGTGCGACGCTGCAGCAAAGCGGCCAGAGCCAGGAGGCGGCTTCAATCCACCTGTTAAAACCATTCAGCAAATTCAAATAGTGAAGTGAATTCTAGCTGGACAGATGCAGCTTTACAACATGCTTCAAACGGTCACAGAATCTCCTTGAACTGTTTTTYCCCAACGAAACACGCAGTGCTACGTGGTGCTGCCTGAAGGGGCAAGCCTGGATTAGAGAAATCTATGTAGTTTGGAAAGTCTTTTTCTATGGTTGATCTTGCTATGAAGGAAATCTTCCCCAGTGCCTTCCAAAATGAAAGCTGGGTGCCCTGATACCACCTTCGCTTGAGCATCCACCTTTGCTGCTCTTCTGYGACTGATGCGAGCGATTTCTTTGTACAGGAGTCGTGGAGCCCCTCTAGATAACGTGGCCTGGATAACAACAAGATGATAGGGTAGGAATGTGAGTGCAAATAGTGTGTGTGAACAGGATACCCTCAGCTGGCCGATCTGGGGGGATGTTTGCCGAAAGTGCTAAGAAGAAATTAACAACAACAAAGTTTGTTTAAAACAAGGATCAGCAGATTAAACAGTACCCAGGGGGTTACCAAGAGCCTTTGGAGCAAAGGGGCTCGCTCGAAGAGGAGTGCAGAGGTAAGGCAGAATTTGTGAGGACTCGTGACTGCGAGGAGAGGGGTGGGAGAGCAGCACCAGGAGGGAGGCCAAAGCAGGCAGCGCCCCTTGCAGCGGGCTCTGGGWGCTCAGAGCAGCGCGGCCGGGGCACTGCTGCTTCCAAGGGGGCAGGCAGGGCGGCGGGAAGGGCTGCAGCCCCCCAGCTCCCGCGGGCAGCGCTCTGCACTGACCCCTCTGCAGGGCACGGCCTGTGCAGAGCCGCGCGGCAGGCACAGCGCCTACGGAGTGGTTGTAGAAAGCGGTTTAGGACCTTCCTGTAACATTTCTTCAGTTTCTAGTGTTGTATTTTATCTGCTGATACTGATCTGCGATATGCAGTTCCCTGATCGCTGACAAATTGCGTATTGCTGATCAATAAATCACTTAGATCCTTTGATTTAAATCATGCGAGTTGGGCAAGTTTTCTCCTGGGGGAAAAAAACAGCCTTTAAAAAGGGCTATTTTCAGTTCAGCTGCGAGCTCTGGGAGAGTTCCCACAGCTGAGGCAGCCGTGGCCAYGGGCGCAGATCCCCCAGATGTGGGAGGCACAAAGGGACATCAGCAGGTACTGCCCTCCCTGAGCCACGGGGCCGCGGAAGCGCCTCAAGCTGACACAGGAGGATGTGCAAGTAGCCAGGCTAGGGCTAAGTGCATCCCGCAGCCCAACAGCCTCCGAGAGAACTCCCAGGCGATGCATTTCCATCATTGGGCATTTCTGGGCAGCCTGCTCACTGGTTTAGGTTCCGCAGCACCTGCCGATGATTGCGTGGGCCTGCTTGATGTGCAGAGGCTGTGCAATATGCCCGTGGTTAACGCTACCCAGAGGGGCGGTGAATTCAGCATTTGCAAGAAAATAACAACTAAAAATCATAGAATCATAGAATGGTTAAGGTTGGAAGGGACCTCCAGAGGTCATCTAGTCCAACCCTCCTGCACATGCAGGGTCACCTAGAACATGTGGCTGCATCCAAGCGGGTTTTAAAGATCTCCAGAGAAGGAGACTCCAGAACCTCTGGGCAGCCTGTGCCAGGGCTCTGTCACCCTCACTGTCAAGAAATTTTTCCTTAAGTTCCTGTGGAACTTTTGGTGCCTCGGCTTGTGGCTGTTTCCTCTAGTCCTGTCGCTGGCCACCACTGAAAAGGGGCCGGCCCCTCCTCCTCACTGCCTCCCTTGAGGTAGTTATAGACAGTGCTCAGACGCCCCCTCAGCCTTCTCTTCTCCACACTGAACATGCTGAAAAATGCCACAGTGCAGGGGAAATCCACACAAGCAGCCACTCCCAGAAGAGTTAAGGCAGAATTTTAGCAAGTGCTGAGAGACAAGTAGCACATTCCCACTCAGCCAGCTCCACAGGTGGGCTCATACCTGGATCTTTCATGAACTATGACTCTAGCACTACGAAACCTCTGCAAGATCTCCTCAAAGACCCTTAATAACACCAGCAAAAGACAACAAAAGCTAATTAATGACTAGGCTAAATGGATTTTGGTTTGTGGAATACTGGACCATCTTTATGGAGGTATAATTTGCTTCAGTCACAGGAGAAAGGAAAAAAAAAATCTTCCAAAGGAAAAATAACAAGATCAAATAAAACGGCATTCAATACCTAAACAACCAGACAACTACTCCTCTGGCACAAAATAAGGATGTTCAGGCTAAAACTAGGCAAAGGAAAAATAATAAAAATAAAAATAAAAATAAAAATAAAAATAAAAATAAAAATAAAAATAAAAATAAAAATAAAAATAAAAATAAAAATAAAAACTGTCAATACATGTTTTTGATTTGGAAGAATAAATTCAGTTTAATTGACTTTACTATAACCTAGTGGAAAATACGTGAATTACAAGTATCATTAATACTTACAGATTATTTCTGAAGGACCAGGCCCAACTGGTCAAAGGAAGACAGAAAATAGTAGGAATATTTTAAAAGCAAAGTAGAAAAGAAGTCAGAAATGGTCATGAACACCCAAGGGTCAATGGTCTGTGTTAGAAATCATTAACTTAAATATTAAGTAGTTTCTGCTACAGACAACTAGAACATATTAGAAACAGGATGCCCTGTTTCTTAATCCCCATGTGATATGACGRAAAAAAATTCCAGGAGGCTTCATCTAGAAAGCAAATGCCAGGAGTGCATTCCATGTCACAATCTCAAAACAGAAGCAACACTAACTGGGAAGAAAAGCCTACCCTGGAAACAATGAGTAACCAAAGGAAAACAGGTAGAGCACAAAACATGACGGAGAGGCTCAGAGCTGCAGAAAATTCACAGGGAAACCAAAGAAGCTCTACTGGCCACAGCTCTTTACCTGCGTGAGGAAAAGGGAGGAGTCGCCTTGTATGTATGTCACAGAAAGTATAAAGTCTAGATAAATACTCCTGTTCTAGGAGAAATACAGTCATACTAGAAAACTCTAACAATAACAATGTAAACAGTGTAGTTGCTTCCAAAACTTTAAGATCTGACAAAAAAAAAAAAAAAAAAAAAAAAAAAAGACTTCTGTACTGTTAATGTGGATTTTCCGTTAAGTTTTGTGAAATCAGGAGAAGCTCAGGGGAAAAAAAAAAGAGTTTCAAAGAAAGCCAAAGCGGTGTCAGTATTCTTGGAAAATATATATAAAAAATAAAATAAAAGGCAAGAATTTGGGGAACTCMCTGCCAACCCTGTAGTAATCCCAGGAAAACGTGTGACTGATGCCTTGATTCATGACCAGAAGTAWGTGAAGCAACTAAAAAAGAAAGACCATTTCTCAAGCAATTAGAGCACAAGTTTGGAAGACCACATGAACCATGCTGATGTAGCCAACATTTTGTGAGCTGCCTTGTTCTGTATGGAACTGCACACAATTCTGCATCGTGGTGCACGCTGTTCATATTAAAGGAGTTAAAGTGACAGATCTGTAACATCAGTAATAAATCATATATATTTCTAACTGAATCCTTCTGAGATCAGTTCTCAGCAAAATATTCAATACTTTATCGGGAAGTAAGGTTTMCTGAAAGTGTTCATAAAAGCTCTAAGTAAAAATAACAGAGGTAGAGTGCCACTTCAGAACCACRCAGATCACAGGAAAAATAAGCACTTCCCTGTGATCACATCACAGATCTAAGAGCGATGAACATAAAACACTTAWAGGATGGAAAACTTCCTCAGGAAGTAGTTGAAATAGCTGATAACGGAGTAAACGTTGGCTCCTAATTGAGTTCAAATCGGTTAATGTAGTTGTTAATCAGCTCAGGAAATAAATAACCAGAAACAAATGCTGGTTTCAGTGTAGAAAGGGGCCAGGGAAATAGGACAATCACCAAAACAGCTTCTTCAGCCCATGCTCCACTGGTAGAAGCCACTGCATGAATTATAAGATCTCACTAATACTTAAAGATTATGTAAGTATTAATGAAGAAGCTGCCGCAACTTCCAGCCATAACAGTGGGATGACTGCTTCTGAATTCTTGATTATTGTGGCTACTTTATCACAGTAAAGCATCTCACAAAAAAAAAATCACTATTAGGTATGTCAAAGCGCAGCTACAAATGCTGTTTAACACTGAGAGCTGCAATATAACCCTTAGCACGTCAAAAAATTATCTCAGTGGCATGAAGGGTAGAGATCATATAAAGTATTATGYAAGGCATTTGGTGATGGAAACAGAAATTTATGTGCAGGCACAGGCTTAAAAGTCTCACATTGTTACAGTTGAATTACCGTTTTTCAGAAACTGCAGCAATCACTAAGCTTCCCAAGTGGCTGCAGTTCTGCTATTACTGGGTATGTCTGTGGCTACAGAACTGCCCAAACTCCCGTTTTCTGTGGGCACAGTTTGATGCCTCCTTCTTCCCCAGGGAGCCCAGGGCAGGACGTTCCCCGTGCTGAAACGCACAACAGCAGAGAGACCCCGGTCCGACCGGCCGCCAACGGCCGCCAACGGCCGCCAACGGCCGCCAACGGCCGCCAACGGCCGCCAACGGCCGCCAACGGCCGCCAACGGCCGCCAACGGCC